TTCATAATTCCGCTCAAAACGATCCCAGAACAATGAATTTGCGAGACGAACAGGCCGCCATGAATCAGGTAAACAATATGTTACATGCAATTTGATTGGTCCAAGCGCTTGTAGTTAACCAATCCTTGGGCCATATATATAATCGAGCTGTGATCTGATTAGTTAAAGCTTTCATACACGTCCAATCGCAGGGCTGTTTACAAACGGAAAACGGAGAGACTGTTCGGGAGAGCTCGTGAAAACTCGACGATAAGATACCTGACCGCCCCTAAAATTTTCTCAACGGATTTAGACGATTCACAAAAATGATCAATTTAAGAAATAAAACGGTGGATTTCCGCGGATCCGCGGAAAATTGCCATGTATGCCTCCAGCATCGCACCTGTCACTCATTGCAATCACAGGACTCTAAAAGGACTCTTGCTTGCTGTTCATGCTCCAAGTGTTTGTTCTCTAGACCTCTTGTTCATGCTCATAATTTGCTTTTGTCCGTGTTGATCTCGTTTTGTGGAATTATCACATAGTGTTGCTCTTCTCTGTTAGTTTTCATGTGATTGGACTTCCTTGGCATTCGGTTTGCTAGTATATTCTTGTTAATTAACTTGCCGATTGCAAGCGGTTTATATTTATTGCGTGTTTTCCTGGCTCTTTGATTCCAGCGACCTTTACTCGTGTTTTGTCTTTTTTTTTTTGCGCTTTTCTGTAAATAAGCACTTCCTGTCATTTCTTTATCAGTGTCTAGATTTGGGGTATCCCACCATTATTTGGTTCAAACCTGAACCGTGTCAGTCACTCGATGTGCTTTAAGCGCATGAGTTTCACATCACAGATGGGTTTTGTTTACATGAGAAGTCACATTTGCTTTTATCATATGAACAAGTACATTAAAAACAAATCAGATTTAACAAACAATGCGAATTTGGGATCACATTGGGCAGCAGTCTGAATGTAGCCTTAAAAAGTGCCGCCACACGCAACAATTGCAACAATCTCACCTCGTATTTTGGAGCCTCATTCCAAGAGTCAAGTTGGAAGGAGAATGAAAGTCCTCGAAAGTTGAGATGGAACAACTGCTCAGCTGCATTGTAAACTGGACACATATGTGAAACGAGAAAGCAGATTCAGCACATATAAGAACAAATCACAAAAAGTCCGTTCCTATATTTCTGTATCCTTTATTTTTCCATTGTGTCTAATGAGAAATGTTACAAGCAACGTGTACCTCCAGGGTGGGTGGCTCCAAACGACTGGTCTATTTGTTCTATAGTGGGAGCGATGGCTTGAGAATTGAAATGGACTCCACTTGAAAAACACACACACAGAGTGTAGAGACAGTGAGACAACCATCCGCTACACAACATTACATCACAAGTTAATGCAACATATTCATTTCACTGGATGTATACAAAGTGTTTTAAGAACACACTAAAAGGTAAGCTGACTCCATTACGGGTCGAATAATTGAAGCTGTGCATTTTGTGGCTACGAGTTGAATGTCATCTGTACTGCAACATAAAATGAACAATGAATAGCCCATACAAGCAATGTTAAAAGTTATAATCGTAATGGGAAATGGTGAAAATAGTAAGAGTAAGCCTAGAGTCTGTGAGGAGCTTGTTTGGTGAATGTGGAAGGTGGTTAACTTCACATCTGCTAAGAAACAAAGAACAAACACTGCCCCAAAAAGAAAAAAAAAAAAAAAACATGGGAGAGGTGCCATTTTACGCAGCAAGCACTGCCGTGGTTCCCTTTGTTATGGGCCTCTGACTTTTATAATGCAAATTAATTTAAAAATACACCAAACTTGATTTTTTTTTCTGTTTCTAAAAGTTTGCTTCAGTTTCTTTTCTTTTGTTTCATGTAATCAAAATACAAATATATTGGACATGCCACCTGAAAAGAAAATGAAGGATTCTGAGATGATCACACGGTGGGTGGGACGTCTCCTTCATTTTAGCACGACTAGCATGCCTACCTGTTCATTTTCAAATCAAAATCAAATCACACAGTCATTCTACCATAAAAAATTACAGACTGTATTCAGTAAAATCAAAAGAAAAATACTCAGGCACACACAATAAATATAGCTCCTGAGCTCCAGGACTTTATCCACTATGCCTTTGTGTACATTATTAGAGCGCTGAGTAAATATTTTTATCACGTGCCAAATGACAGTACAATATTGAGTAAAACATTTCAGGAACTGCTTGAAAGGAGGGAAAAAAAGTGTGTGTTGGGTACAAAAGCTATAAACAAGATGGCCTGCAGCTGTTGCCTGTGTGTTACTGAGCTTTCTCACTCTTGTCATCATTCTAACTGCCTTTCCTGATGACAGTCAAGATTTTATTAGCGCAACAGTCTGGCCCTAGAACATCTGATTTCTTTTCCCATTGTTTCCTTTGGGAAGACATTCTTTTGATACAGACAAACTGGAGTAGAGTCAGCATCCTGCAATTGATTGTGTTCAACTTCGTATATTGAGCAACACAGAGCACCCAAACTGTGCGCTGCAGTATTTTATATACAGCACTCATACTCTAAAATTACAGCGATTAGATGTCTATAGGATCCATTTTGTACATATTGGAAGTATTTTAGGGAATGACATGTACAAGGACACTGTTTTGATGAACGGTACATACTCACCAGTATTTCAATTTCACTTTGCTTAAGTCATACACTTCAATCACCTGTCAACAAACAGACCAATCAATAGTTGGCATGTAACAATACACTGCTCCCTTGAGTTGAATGGGATACAGCCCATAAATGACACAAAATAAACATAATAACAGTATGATGCAGTTGGTTTATGAGACCTAAATTGTCAAAAAATATGGCACAGTGCTCATGCGTATCGCATTGCTGTGAGATCGTTTCTTTAGAAACAACTTTGTGGCGGTGGCAGTACAAAAATACTGTCCGTACATATTTCACCTTGAGTCTCTGATTTGTGGCATCAAACAGCAGTTTAATCCCATCCTGAGTCAAGTTCAGTATGAGGTCATGGCTGAGTGGTGTCTGTTGAGGAGATGAACAAACTCATTAATTTACATTACGATGGGCGGACTGTGGAGACGTCCAACATGCGCATGATGCGGAAGGCCATTATTGGAGTCTGGCATTTAACAACATTTACGAGCACCACAAATCATTTTTCAACAGACAAAAAGATAATTGCTCTAAAATCTGTTTTTCCCCCTTGAATTATTCTTCAATCCCAGAATGTTGCGGTAGTAAGAAGTATTCGACAACTGGAACATACTGGATGAATCACTTACGACAGTTCAACAATTTGAGAAGATATGCCCCTTGTTGTTCAACTCAACTAAAATTTAGGGGAAAAAAATAATTTTAAGAATTTCAGAAAAACAAGCCGCATACCTTGCAAAGTTTTATTCTAAATGGTAAGTCGCTAAGTAACTCTTCTAAGCTTCATTGGCTTTTTAAAGTTTTTGATGTGAGGTTCACCATAAAATGTCATTTTACTCATCATGTCATTTCACATTTGTAAACACTTCCAAACAATGGAAAAAAAATAATCTGATTGACCACTGATGGTACTGAAGTAAAAGAAAGTGATTTCAAACACTTCTGGGTTATGATTATAAAATAATTAAATGGAAACCAGTAAGGTGGTAACTGAGCAAGCTTCAAAAGGTTCAATGTTGGCAAGGTCGGAAACAGAAGACCCCATTATTTTAAGCAAACCGTGCCCCTGTTCAAGCTAAGCGGTGTTGAAAATTGGTGGATGGATTTTTGCTGTTAATAAGTGAAACACAGGACATTGTGGCCAACTCACCTGTTCACTGTAAAGCACCTGGACATTTTTGATGATGCGGCAGTGTTTCTGGAGAATAGAGATAGCCTGGGCCAATGGCATGCCTGAACAAAACAACAACAAAAAAACAAGGCATCTTGTAACTTGAAGGTTGCAGGTTTGATTCTCACTTCACTTAAAGCATCCTTCAGAATGCGGCAACATACAGAACCCGCAATTTCCATTGACGTGAGTCGCTATTAATTGTCTTTCGTGGTAACCTAGGTCACTATTATTGTGGTATGGTATGGTAAACATTTGAAGTCCTGTCTCCTAAATGTAAAAATGCATTCAAATTCAAAAAGATAAACAGCATTTCTCAGCATTAAATTCAAACGTCTTGTTTTATTTTCTCTCAAATATGCACAAACTGCTACTTTCATATCAACACTTACCTAAGGCAAATTCCCATTGCTCATTTCCAAGTGATCGCTCAGGCACCACTTCCAGATCCAGCATTGGCAAGTAGTAGGGGGCGGCTCACTTTAAGACACAATGGGACCCTCACTTCTTTTTGCCTGTCTCGACCCTGAACACTGAATTGTCTACTTCAATTCATAGCTCCCAACATAAACAAGCCACCAAATACACGCGCGGAAATCAGCGTGAAACTTTCCAGTAATAAGTGACCACTTTCATGTGGCACATATGAAACTAACATTACAAGTGTGCGGAAAAGAAAAGCTTTAAATCAAATACATAGAACAATGAACACAAGATTAAAAAGAGTCTTGCAAGTTACACTTTTAATAATAGGCTACCAGGTTAGCTGCTCTCGACTTTTGCGAACAAATTACGGAACCTGACACCAAACCTGACATGAACAAAGTCAGCTGTCAGTCGAAGTATTGCTGAAATAAGCCTAGAATCATGGGTCACTATCGGCCAGTTACGAAAGCACCGAGAAGGACAACAACACTGTGTTGCGCTATTCGCTAACATTAGCCGACCCAGCTAGCTACGCTTATTGCGTGGGAATTGAGTACAAATAGGAAAAAACAACGTATATTAAGGAAATGCCCGTGGTTATCACAGAGGCGATAAGCAATACAGATCACACGGCCATGGCATAAATACACAAAGCGGGTTAAGTGGCTGTCTGTCTATCTGTCTGTCTTTCTTTATTTCTCCCTTCCACCACCACCGAGGGTCCCAGTTTGGGAGCGAGCTCTTGTGCAGTGCGGATGCTTATTCAAATTCCTCACGTCCCCGTTCGTCACGTGTTTGTGAGCATTTAGCCGTCCGCCGTCTTCCGTCCTCGGGGTTAATGAGTCGCCGAACAACGGCAACTTCGGGAATCAACAAGAAGCAGCAGGATCAGCTGATTGTTCAACTTCCTGTATTTGGCGCATGTTCTGGGTGGGACGCAATGACGTCATAGCAAAACGAGTCGCAAGGAATTTTACCGTGGAGAAAATAGAAGTATTGTATATAAAACCAATGAAAAAAAGGCAAACGCTTACTCATAAAATAAATAAATTAATTAAAAGAAAAAAAAAGAAAAGATTTACCTAGAAACTTCTTGCATCAATACTGTTTTGAATCAAAGCAACACAAAAGCGCTGCCGTGGAAAAAAATACATTTTACTCAAATAGACTATAGGCAGCCTAATGTTATGTTTTTTGTTGAGGTTATATTTGGTTTTGTGCTCTCGTGTACCCTTTTTGTCTCCACCTGTTCTCGTCATCCATGTTATAGGTTAAACACAAGGGACACGGATGACGAGAACAGGTGGAGACAAAAAGGGTACACGAGGGCACAAAACCAAATGTAACCTCAACAAAAACATAACAGTACCAAATATAACCTCAACAAAAACATAACACCTAAACTTATTCAAAGAACTGTTTACGCCGACCGGGAAGGCTCATTTTTCACTCCAAACCTCTATGTATTTTTTGATCAGGAAAGTGATATTGCAATTTCAATTTCATCAATTTGTTTTGAAGGAATCAGATAATAACGCCCACTCCCCCTTCTTCCCATTCCTTGGTGGGGGTCAGCGAAGGAACGAAACATATTTTCATCTATCCATCCATTGTCTGAGGCGCTTAGCCTTCAATAAAGGTCGCGGGCGTGCTGGAGCCGATCCCAGCGGCCTTCGGGGTACACCCAAAAGTGATTGCCAGCCAATTGCAGGGCACATATAAACAAACAACCATTCACGCTAAAAGTTATGGCCCAAATAACCCTAATAATGTAAAAGAAAAACAACCGACCAGCACCAAACTTTATGTGGACATCTCTACTTATGCCCACTTCAACCTCTGAAAATATCACAACACATTTGCCTCTCCATGGCTCACTTATGAGAGAAGGAGGAAATTGGCATATTACATGAGGTTTCTTTCATGACAGATTTGCTTTATCGAATAAGTCCCCAACATATGAACACAACGGGTTCCGAAAGGCTTTTTTAAGATGAATTGTGCGTAAGTCGTTATATAATAAATCTAAATCTCAAAGCGTGAGCTTGAGTTCTTTTTTTTTTCCAAGTCCATCTCCAGGTGGCACAACCTGTCACGCGTATCTGAAAATGATGCACCCTAAGCGGCCACACTCAGTGTCATCCTCCATGCTGGAAATCCAAATATTTAAGTCTATCTATTCATCCATCCATTTTCGGCATCACATATCTCAGGGTCACGGGCGTGCTGGATTCTTCAAAATCAAGCTTTGAAATGTTGCCAGGCCAACTTGCAGGGGCTGTTGCACAGCTGCCAATCCAAAATTGAAGAATTTTAGAAATTGGCTGTATCAGCAATCAAATGCGAAGTGATGCCTCAACAGCGGCAGTAGTGTTTGCCAGGTAGCTGCGGGGCCCTGCAAGCAAACAAAACTTTTGAATTGTGAAAACTGTAACCCTTCTCTTGCCCACTTAGATCTGTAAAAATGTAACAACGATCAGCGCAAGATGTTTGATTTTGTGGAGGTGATAATGGTTTTTCCTCATAGGAGCTCACATTTCATGTCAATAAAATCCTAACTTTTGACTTTTTGTATTTTCACAAGTTGAAGAGTAGAGATGTGAGCATAAGAATTCAGGTGAAGATGTTATTCATCTTTTTGAAACACTAGGTGGCAACAGAACTTGACAAAGCAAGCCAGGAAAAATTATTCCAAGGCTTGCCTCCTTTCTTCAATCAAGAGACAGGCTACGACTTGGAAAAATAAGCAGTCTCCGCCCATAAATAATAGGCGTTACATTTGCTGAAAAACGCCACAAAACCCCTTAAATTACAATCAGTTTTTCCAGAGGGGTGAGTTTTAGAGTTGACATCAGCCTGATGGCATCCCTCATCACCAGTGTCCACCGACATCTTTGGAGATTACCATCACGACATGCATTTATGGCCATTCGACCGCCTCAACAACAGGCAACATGGCCCATTTAGACTCAATGTCTTGGCAGTTTTTAACCATTCTGTGACATTCACACCAATGGATAACTTAGGATTGGAAATTAACCCAATGAGCATTTTTGGGGCGAATTTTAGGAAGTAGTTTCAACATGTGGAGAGAAAACTGAGACAAGTGCAGTGAAAAATGTAAACTCCACTGAGGAAGGCCAGAAGTCAGATTTTAACCCAGAGTCTCAAAATTGTGAGGACTATGTGCTAACAACTATGAATTTATTCTGCCAAAAAAATCATATTATGTTTATTTTAATCCGATGGATTTAAAATGAGTGAGGGTGGGTCGGGGAAATACAGATCCCGATGAAGAAATTGCCAAAAAGTATTACTGGAGGTCATCAGCAGTGGACACAGAGCTACAAGAGCATTTGTCAGTATGCAGACCTCTAAGCAGGTCAACTGTTCATTTCCTTTTAATTTCTTTACAAACAGACAAAACATATACAAAGTAGAAACATATTTATGAATAAACTCCATGGATTGTTCTCATTAAAGGGGGAATCGCTTGACAAAACAAATCGATTTTGGTTAAAAAGTGATTCACCCCCCCACCCTCCTGAAATAAAAGCAAATTAAAAAAACATTTTTGATATTGTAAAAACATTTATATGACCTAATAACAGAACTTTGGATCCACATTCAAATCACAGGAAAAAAAAAAACACATGAAACAAAAGAAAAGCAGAAGAAAATCTCACGAACAAAAACTTTTTGGTATTTTATCAATGACAAATTGCAACATGTTAGACACAAAACACTACTGTTGTAGCCACTAACAAAGAGAAAAGATGAAATAAATGAATATATTTGAAAATGAGTAAGATTATAAAAAGTAAACATCATGACTTTCACACACACACACAAAAAAAAAAAAAAGATAATTAAACACATTTCACTACGCTCGTGCCATAACAGGAAATTGTTTTCTTTTACTGCATTCATACTTTGACAATTCTTAATGAGGAATAACTGGGGGGACTGGCCAATGGATGGATTTAAAATATAAAAATAAGGATGCTCGATTCAAACTATGAATTGATGTGTGTTTTATTTTGGTGCATGGCTTACCTGTGTGATGTGTTTGAATCACCCAATTATTCCTCATCCGAACCCTATAAAGGGAGCGTTGTAATGATAAACAGACTGCCCATATAACAGCCAACAAAGTAGCCCTCAATTTAGTTCCATGCAAACAAAATTCATGTGAACTTGACTGATTGTATCACAGAGTGCAAAACACACCTGGACGACATGTTATTAAACCCCCCCCCCCCCCCAACATAATTTTCCTTGCTACATTACCCCTGACTTAATATACCTTGCCAATGCGGTCATTTGAGAAACAGTTGAAACTACCACTAAGAAAACAATGTAACTCTTTTGGCATCATTCCCGCACATCGACCTCCCTTTCATTCCAGCAAGGTGAAATTTGGTCTCAGAAAACAGCAGTTTTTTTGTTGTTGTTGTTGACGACGTACCAAGTTAAGTCATCATCACTGCTGATTAACTATTCTTCTATTTGATGATCCTTCTGTTTGCCTTTGTCATCCTCTCTCACATTTATTCATGATCAAAAATATATTTTTGGTGTGTATACTAAGTCATTAAACCCAGGGGCGAGATTTTGCATGACCTGATCTTCAATTCTTGTTTACTCAGACGTTCGTCACATTTAAATGTGAGCAAACACAGAAGGTGTTTATTTTATTATTCTATACGGTTCACTTTCAATTCAATTAATTACCAACATTCAAATGCCGAAATAAAATAACCGTTTCATTTTAAAAAAAAAAAAAAAAAAAAGGAAAATACTGGTATATAATTGCAAAATTCAACATTTCATTTCAGCTAATTGTGAAAGTGAAAGAATATCAGCCTGAGTCTCCTCCACTTCGTTCCTCCACTCGTTGACGTCTTTCTCAGCACATCTTGTGTTCCGCATCAGCACTGGCCATGTATAAGCCAGGGCTGTGATCCTGCTGTCGTCTGGACTGGGGAGAGAGGATGGTAGGTGAGAGAGGAAATATTAGCCAAAAAAGTGGGTGCAGTTGGCAGATTAGGACAGAAAGGAGGTTATGAAGGACAGTAAAAAAGGAGGTAGAGAGAGGAGATAGATGTATTTAGTCCAAGGTTTTAAATATCCAAATATATCACACAAACTCAAACGTTTCTTCCTGCATTTATCTTAAAAAAAGCACGCAGAGCAATATTTCGAATTTCTTTGCACAACATATATTTTATTTGTACAAATCAAATTTTAAATTAGTGGTCATAACACATTTATGTGTTGAACAGAGAAAAGAAATCAATGTATTTATTGGTCAACACAACTTAAGTCTTGAAATGTAAAACCTAATATATTGAACTCATGTTTTGTGACAGGCATAAAATTTCCCATGATGCTTAAAACTCTTTGTTTCTATCATTTTTTGATGCACTTATTGTCACAAGGGTCGCGGGGTGTGCTGGAGCCAATCCCAGCTGTCTTCAGGCAGTAGGCGAGGGACACCCAGAACTGGTTGCCAGCCAATCGCAGGGCACAGAGAGACGAACAACCATCCACGCCCGCACTCACACCTGGGGACAATTTCGAGCGTTACATTAACCTGCCGTGCATGTTTTTGGAACGTGGGAAGAAGCCGGAGTACCTGGAGAAAACCCACGCAGGTACGGGGAGAACATGCAAACTCCACAAGGGGAATGCCGGAGCCAGAATCAAACCCTGCATCTCTGCACTGTGAGGTCGACGTGCTAACCCGTTGACCACCGGGACCCCCAAAGTCAATTTTTGTGCTATTCAATTGCACACAATAGAACGTTTTGAAAACTTAATCGTGCCCGTAATGTGAAATGTCTACATCTTAAACACTTTCACCCATAAATGCATAGATACTGTATTTCAAAAAAATAAATAAAAATAATCATAAGCAGTTCCAAACAAA